ATTCGGCAGCCACCCTTTAGGTCGCGCGCTAAGTGTTGCATAAATAACTACCCGTGCCGCATCGAGAAACTGGACTGTATTTCCGGCCATCTGCCTTATCGGAAATAACAAATAATTACGGTATTGCAATAATCATGGATCGTGACAAGCATAGAAATCGAGTTGCATAAAGAAAAAAGAAGAAAAAATATGAGGTAGTTTAAAAAGGTCGTTAAATTTAAAGTCAGGAAAATTGTAATCTCGGAAAGAAATTTTTATAAGTCCCTTTAAACTCAAATTATTTTCGCCTCCAATAGATACATTTTCGTCGCTTTTAATTAAAAATAATAAAGATGTTTAGGGCTGTCGTAGTAAGGAAAATATGTTTGTGTGTGCGGTACTCTTCAAGTACTATACAGATCTTTAAATACCGTCGATGAAGAGAAAGAAGAAATTCGTATTAGACCAACGAGAATAAATCAATTAAGAGAAATATTTTCGATCAAAACGGATCTTAGTATTTTAAGTAATAAATATTTCAAAGTGTATTAATTTATATATTAAAATGTCTTAGTTAGTTAAAATGTCTAGGTCGAAGCTGGATCTTCATTGCTTTAAATAATTCAATCTTGAATTACTAATATATACTATATATGTACTTGCATATATATCATATTGTAGTCTTTTCAAGAGGAAAGACCGGGACACCATGAGCCACAAAAATTCAAACTCTTAAAAGTGCATCTAAATATAAAAATGTTTGTATCATATTTTTTTTAATAATTAAAGCATAATGCATATTTTAAAATTTAATAAGTATATTTAGTAAATATTTATTTGTTTTTAAGAAAAAAATAAAAACATTTTTTAAGATATGACCCATGGTGCCCCATACCCGGGGTGACCATAAGTCACATACAAAATAGTAGGATTATGCAAGAAATAACGGTGACGAAAGTTGAAGAGTATTTTTAATTACAACATTATACATTCTTAGCATAGTCACTAATACAATAAAATATAATTACAACTAATAATTATTATATAATAAAATAGAAAGTTATAAGAGAACAAATGAGAAATAATTATTAACATAAGGTAAAAAATTTATTACGATAAAATAAAATTAATTGCTTAGGTCCGTTTTCACAATATATGGTCACCTAAAGATTAAAGATTACCAACAGATTCGTCAATGAAATTCATTCATGAATTTCTTGGTTACCTTTAATCTTTAGGTAACCATATATTGTGAAATTGGGCCTTAGAAGTATAAACTGCCCTTTTAGTACATATATTTTCTATATTGTCTCGTTTCATCATGAATATTTAATGTATGATACCCGTAATATCCCAATTATACTTAATAGAAAACTATAAAAAATAAATGTTAGATTATTACTTGTAACATATTAAGTTAAGAAAAGATGCGCAGAAACTTGCACCTTATCTTCATACATGTATCTTCTACTATAAAAACGATATTAAAATATTTTTATGCAGTTAAAAAGTTACCATTGCACCACGAAAATCATTAATGCTCAATGCTTTTCGATACAATGGAATTTAATCACTGCCACATAGATAAAAAATAGGGCAACGAAGTAATAGTCATATTGTACCAGTAATATTAATTTAAACATTCTAGATTATGTTAAACAATCGATAACCCATAGTACCCGATTTTCCCTACAATCTAATTCTGCAAATAGCGCGCCGAAATCTTTTTCGGTTTTAAAACGCAATCATGAATGGAACTAGATAGTAATATCATATATTAAATTAATAAACTATTTAATAAGACAGAAGAAATATGAACATATAATAAAATGAACGTCATATTTGAACTGGAAGAAGAAATTGAGAAAAAGAGGACTTTGTTTTCTAAAAATTGCAAAATTTTTAATCTTTACATCAAATCTTTCGCCATTGTCTCCATTACAAATTAAATGTTTTCTTTTAAAACACAGTTATCTTTTAAAATAATTATAAATTAATATCGTAAATAGAAATTACAGGGTAAATTACTTTTCATTTCAAATAGCATATTTTTCTATGTTGTTTATTTTAAAATCTATTTAAAGATCTCATCTCTGTCGATTACTTTCAAATACACAAAACTGATGGATTGCATCACATCAACACGTAAAACTATCGTGATAGACAAAATTCTGTCGCGAAGTAACTCTGGTACAGGGTAAAAATAAATTGATCACCGTCCTTATATTATCGTAGCGAGCGTGCTGAAAATAGCGGGAGTCATTAACCAATTATCTATCCCTGTAATCTCCCCCAATGACTAGTTGGTACCCGCATAGTTAACGTTGCGCGTCGACGAGAATTCATTTAACTGTTCTTTCCGAATGATTCACGTCGATCTTGCCTGAATCGTTGACGAATCAATTCCCATCAGGGGCATATCGCATGCTGCGGGTGGCGCGTGTCCATGTTCTTAAAAATCAGCACCCTGATCGAGGGTGGTCGCTCTTTAAATCAACAGCTTGATTATATTTTCCCAGACAGAGCAAGATTTATATTTTTGTAGCTTTATAATTTTATTTTTATCATTCATTAAACATAAAATGAGACTAAGAATAATGCAAATAACGCTGCTAATACGTCCCTGAATGCACAATACTACACTGTATTAAATTTAATGTTTACCGCTGTCAATAAAATATTATTATTATTATTTATAAATATTATATATAAATATTATTTTATGTATACAGTTGGAAAATTGTGTTAAATTTAACATTTTACGTATCTTAAAAGGTCTATTTAAATATATGTTTAATTTAATATACAATAAGGTGAGTATTAGAAGATAACATAAATATTATTTAAGAAGGTAAAAACAAAAATGGTAATACCGACACAGTTTGTAAATAAACAAGTAGTTTTTGCAGGAGAGCAGGTTGAAGTTAAACGAGTAAACACAAAAATTATTTATCGGACGCAATTTTGTTAAAGGAAAACATTTTTTGTTTTAACATAAAGTATCACGTCTTGTACTTTGCGGGCGCGAATTTTGAAACGCCCTTTACACATATATGTATATATAACGATGTATAATCATTTGCAGTGGGCCGTATAAGAAAATAAATTATATTGTATGTAATTCAATTATTATATGTATATATACATATTATAGCTGCATTCGAGAAGATGCTATTAGTGCTATTTGCTTATTTCATCTTTGCCGTTCATTAAAACAAAGATACAATTAATGACATAAATCGTTAATAGCGTCTCTCCGAACGCACCTATATTTTTGTATATAATTATATATTTATATCTATTTATGTATGTTAGAGAAAAATTAGCTACGTTCAAAAGTTGGTCGAAGCTGCTAGCTTGCTCGCCAAGTAATTGAATGCAATTGCGATTGGATTCTATAAGTAAAGATTGGATTCTATAAAACCAATCATGTTCGGTGAGTAGACTAGTTGCTTTGCCAACTTAAACACAGTCATAGAAACTCTAAAGAATATAAAAGTACAATTTAATGAAAGATTATGGAATGAAAACAAGGATTGATTTAACGGGGAAAAAATAAGTTAGACATACAACACACGAGAAAGAAAAGGCGATATTATTGATTAAAAATTGATTAAATAAATTAAATAGAATTAAGAATAAATATGTGATAAAAGGTTCAAATTATTTTATAATAATTAGCTTATATAGATATAAGCTTATGTAGATATAAATTAGCTTATACAGATATAAGCAAATTATCCAGCAACATTTCTTTGCTTTCTCATTAGCCATTTACTGACACATCAGTCCGATCAGAAAGTTTTAACAACATTCGTAGGTAAGTTTAATAAAATTATCTCACAAGCTGTCATCTCAAAAAGATTTTTTCTTTTTGTGTACATTGTACAAGTCATACCGGTCATACATACACGCAAGTACCGTTAGTGAAAAATTCAAGAAGGGGAGAGAAAGGAGATGAGAAGGTCTATGAGAAACGGTCAACGAATAAGATTCACATAACTGGATCCGCAGCTATTATTAAAGGGTTAAAGAAATCGTTGAGATATGTAAAAAAGAAAATCGATTTAGCTGTCGTAACACACGAACGTTAAACCGGTAACTCTCGCGTCATCCTGCAAAGGGCGGGATGTGCATAACGACGGTTAAAGAATAACAATCACATCGAAGATGCGTTATTTTAAATAGAAAAAAAAAAGATATTTCCATTTATGCCTTTAATATCGACAATTATTTAAGATCTGCAAATCCAGCTGATAGAATAAAGATACGAGGACGTTCAAATTATGATTTAACTCAGAAATTTTAAATTATTTAATCAATTAATGCTGTGCCCGAATAGATACAAATACAGATTTAGTATTATAAATGCATTATTTATAATTGCAAAAAAATATTATCTCTTTTGTACCACTCAGAATATATCCTTTAATTCTGTATATAAATATATACAATGAGATTTAAAGGCCAGAGATTCATGTCGTTCCGCTTGGAGATTCTATTTACGTTCTTCCTGAGTCTTAATTCTAACAAGACAAGCGAACTAAATAAATCTCTATTCTAGACAACTCTTAGACACCTGGAGATATTTTTCACGCACTGTATTCCGAATTTACCGTCGCAAGGAGATCCCATTTGGCAGAAATTTCCGAAAGTTCTCTTTATCTTTCTGCCGGCACCTGGGCCGTTCGACCCCTTCGAGATTTTCAGGGGGCGACTAGGACCCCTCGGTGGAGAACATCGGGGAGAGGAAACTGACACGTTGCGCACGTTACATGCAGAAACAGGTAAGGAGCGAACGTGTTCTTCTCGTCTCGTCTCGTGATCTCTTTTCCCCATCGTCGAGGGGAAAAGATGACAGAGAAGGGGAGCGGAAGGATCTGAAAAGGAACGTTGCGCAAAGCCGTTTTCCCAGGAGCCTCCCCTGAAGGGCCCCCATCAACCACCACGTGCAACGAAGGAAGGGCCTAGTGAGTATATAAGGGCCCGCCCGGGCTGCAATGACCTCAGAGCATCACGGTCAACGGTGCAGAGAGGAAGTCTTGGCTTCTTCGACCGATCGACCATCCCGGTCACGGTCGAGGAGGATCCGGAGGGATTGAAGAAAAGAAGAGAGAAGAGGAAGTAAGCTGCAGTCATCTAACGGCGGTCGCCATCATTTTTCTGTCGCAGATCCAATCGGAGCGTCTACCACCCACGATGGTGAGTATAGTTTCGGGTTTTTGTCCTGGCTAGCACGTGATCTTGGTGCTTCGATAGACTACGCTAAAAGTCATCTAAAATCTGGTTTTCGGCCTCCGCGGATCTTCGACGTTCTGCCTCGTGAAACGAAAAATTTGCACTTCTTCCCAAATAACAAATCGACTGTCACGCGCGAAAAACTGGACGAGTCGTACTTTGCACTTAAAGAAGCTAAATACGTTCTATTAACATTCGCGCTCTGAAAGAAATACGTTCGCAGGCAATTATTATAGAAAATGTTGTTATAGAAATTTGCAATTACCGCTACGTATCTTTTAGGCAGACGAACATATCGATGTCTTTAAAGTGAAATTTTGAAAGTTCAAATTTTTCGATTCGCTTAATTTTTCGCGAATGAGATAGTCGATTAGTATGATTTATCGTGAAATAAGAACACCAGAAGCGATTGGATTCGCTGACGTTTCAGAAATTTATATTGAGAGATTCAAAGTAAATTGAGTTCGAATTGAAAAGCATGATACACGTTTATTCAACCAACCGCGCGATTAATTATCGCATGTTTGCTAGATTCACGCGCGATGTAACGAACAGAGACGTTATTCTTTTTTTCATGGTGTTCTGATTTTATTCAGATAGTACTCTATACCGGTGGAAATTTTCGGGCAGGTAGAAAATGATCAAATTGCTGAAAACGAGAACAATAAATTGCCACAACGTGCCAAAAGAGGCTTAAAGTGAAGTTAATCGCGACGGAGATATCTTGAGATAATTCGCGAGACAGAATAGCGTGAATCTACGATCGAAATTCCGAGTTACGCGCGTGTTAATCATTCGGACCTACTCTATCCAGGCACTAATATCCCACCCCAAAATGTGACTTGAAATTTGCTCGTCTTATTTCCCCTTTCGCCATTGTGTTCGAAAATTCCGCTGCTTTTGTATCATCTCTTTCACGTCTGATCAAATTGCTCTCTGTGTGTAATAGTGATCCTTCGAAATTTGTACTCGTCTAAAAATAGATCGCTCTCCTCAAACTGCTTCTCGTGTTAACGGAGTTATCACTACTCACATACGCGTCCGTTGAGACCTTACCGATTACGTTATATAGCCAATACACCAGAATGACTCCTTGCAAGAAAACGTTTCGTGAAATCTTGATATGAATAATTATGTTGACAACTGCAGATTGATCCAAATTTGCCGGTATCGTTCGAGTACAATTTGCAACTCGCCGTGATACTAAAATCATTTGGATAATCTTCGTTTCGAGATTGCGAGTAGTGATATCACGGTCACACTCTCAGCTTCTCACCCTGTCACCTGTAGATTTTTAGAACGTTTTCAATTGCTGATCGTGTGCGTTTATGAGTGTCCAAAGAGCGCTCGTAAGCGTGCAATTTTCATAGATGATCATAGATTAACAATTAGATGTACAGATCCATCAGTAATTAATTTTGTGTAAACTAAAATGCATGCAATTAAATTAACACATCATGTGTGCACATTAAAACTCTCAGTTTCAAGCTGCTGTTTCTGTACCGACTCAATCTCTGATCTACTCTTTCATTTCACGCCGCTTATTAAACCCGCAATAAATCTGCATGCGTAGACACCTTTACATCCTGTCAAGCATACGTCATGTCCCGTCAGAAACTGTCGATACACCGAATCGCAAAGTAACACGGAGACAGCGTGAAAACCTTCACACGCGAAAGGTGTCTTTTATCGAAATTTTTGTGATGTAACTTCGTAACATAATAGCGGGCTTAAATTTCGATCAAAAATGTGCAGATCCAAGCAGGTGAAAAATTTCCTTAGTACCGAACGCGACATAATCGAAAATGACAATGACATTGAATATTTCGAAGCAATCCACGCGCAAGAACTTTTTTTTCTCATTTTGTCAACTCATCGTCCCGTTGAAATTGCCGTTCAATCTCAAGCTGAGAATATTTAAGCATAAATTTGAAAGAAAATTTTGTTTGTTATGAAAATATTACACTCAACAACAGCTTTATGATTAATATGAATTTCAATTGCTAAGATTTGAAGTTGTTTAAATTTGTTGGTATTGAAAAATTTCTAATGAATTAATGCAGTGGATAAAAATCTTTAAAAAACAGAATTATAGACGAGAATATATACATATAGAAAAATAGAATAAAGTAATAAATTTACGTGAACAGTTTGAACAATAATATACCAATCTAATAAAATCGATGCCATTGAAATACAAAAATTGATCTAACAATCATGAAATTTGTTTTAACAGAATTTTTATTTGTCATTTTGATATTCTATAAGGAAGTTATTTGATCATTTTTGCAAAATTTTTACAAAAATTCTATTTCTGGTTAACAGTAACTCAACAAAAGTTTATTTCAAAATTCCGATAACAATATAATATGATATAAACATGTCGTTATATATCTACATGAATACATATGATTTTCTCTGCTGTTATCGATGGCATGCTCATTTTGCATAATCAATCTCAGGTATATTCAGATAATTGATATTGTATGTCAAAACAAATTTAATTAACGTTGCACAGTTCCAATTTCAAAATGAGACGCTTTTCAAAATATAAGTTTCATGAAATAAAGCACACATTCCGAAAGATGTTTGAAATGCGATATAAAAAAAGACCTTTTCACGAACCACAAATCATATTATCTGGATAAATAAAGGATAAAATAGTGGATCCCTCCCCCTCCCCCTTAAATAAAAGCCAGAAATCATATTAGAATCTTCAATTTATCGCTGTAGTTTGAAAGAATAATTAACAAAGGTTAGTTAAATTTCGAGCACTACATATTTCGGCACAATATGCATGTATTATAGACTTTTTTGAAATAGAAATTGCCATTCTTGATATTATACGAAACTTTGATAAATGGAACACGATTTTTATTAATAGTATCTTGAAAATAATTGCAAACGAAATATGTTGAAATACAGAATAAGATAGAAGCAAGATAGAAAACCGGACAAAGTGTTTATAATAAAGCTTTTTGATAATAGTAAATAAAACAAAAAGTTTTTGATCATAATCTAAAAAGAAGAAATAACATATTAAACTTTATTCATTTGTACGGCAGACAAAAAACAAGTATATCTGAATCTTTATTTAATCCATAAAGTAATTGCATCTGAGGAATTGTTGAATTGTATGACAGGCATTCTTAAATATCTTTGTATTCAAGTTTTCAATATGTAATATAAGCAAAATTCATAAGAAATAAAATTTTATTTCTGACATGCTATAAAAATTTTATGGTTCATTTCATTATTGCATTTAGCGAATATTCTAACCTGGATATGAATTATATAACTTTTTCTTTAAAGAGGAAATTTACACACACATATATATAAAAATTCTCACTTTTCACGTTTTTCGCCTTAGTAAGGAAAAAATTACATGATTGATCCCCAGGGTACATATTATGGAATCATTTGGAGTGGATTTTGATTTGATTATTTCGGTTTCCCTAAAAAATACAATAGAAATCTAGAAAATAATTAAACAATTTTATTAATATATTGTTAAAAATCAGGACAGGTATTATGAAATTATTCAGAATCCATTCCGAATAATTTTATAATATCTGTCATGATCTTTAACGATAAAAATAATTTTCCAAAAGAAAAAAATGCAATTAACGAAACTGATATCCATACAATTTTTTATCACAAGCAATAAGACTAACCGAAAAATTTTTATTACAAAAATTAACGAAAAATCAATTTTAAACATTTAACACATTAATAGCGTACCTCTATTTTAAGTTGTCTGGTAAATAAAAAGTATTTTATTAAATCTATAGAAATTAGAAAACAACTCTTAATCTGTTATTTACATTTAGCTCAATCAATTCCAAATATAATTTTGTATCATGTTATTCTGAAACATTGGACCATTCATCAAAAATAGTATATGTTGTAGAAATTTCAAAGAGATCCTTTTCAGCAGCATTATTGAGAAAATCTAAATTATATTTTCGATATTCCAAAAAACTATTCTATATTCCAAATAAAATACCCAAGAATATCCAAATCGGTCGATTAAAATCAGTAAAAAAAAACCTTTGACAGATTATACAACAAAAATTAATAATTATAGCCTTTACGTAAAATTATATAATTTTCGTAACAAAATTAAGAGCAATTAGTGACAATATTGGCAATGTTGAAAATTATATATCTTACAACTGAAAGTAAAAACATTCATCACGAAAGAAATTATGCTGTTTGGGCAGTTGTTTCACCTGTTCGCATATTGGATCAGTGCGAAGGGGCTCGATTTTCTGCTCCCCATATATTTAAACGCCGGAAGCAAAGAGCATGTCGATCGATATCGGTATACGTAACTAGTCTAACACTGCATTGATTCGGTCACCGAATACATTGATACGAAAGAATTATTTCTTTGAATGGATTTCCATATCCAAAGGAATTTACATTACTAAAAATATAAGGTACACACAGAGTATCACTTTCCATTTGATCTATTTGATCCTCGCATCTAACTGGATTTGCTTACAACCGATGAGAATGTATGACAAAAATATAGATTCGTCCCTATATATCACAAATGATAATGATCACAAAATTTACTCTGCTTCGGTCTTAAAAAGATTCACCGTATTTTAATAATACAACTCCCAATTGCCACGTGAGAGTAACATACGTGTTACTTTCTCTAGTTTTGTATTACGATACTTTTCTGAAATCGGTTACATTACGGAAAAAACGTGCGCGCATATAAAATTGGTTTCTTCAAATAGAATTAAAGCATTTTTATAGACCCTATTTGAATAAGTTATTCAAATTTATTTAACGTTGTCAAATCAGCATAACAGATTTTTTGGTACACGCTATATCCCGCCAAGTTTTCATTATATTAATTTGTGTTAATAACACCCCGAATAATATAAAATTAAGATCACGTAATAAAGTGAAAAGTGAGCTTGCAATAGAACAATGATATCAATTCAATAAGTGAAATAATGGTTACGTTTTGGATTATAAATGATACTTCTGGCCTTTTAAAATCAATCGCTAGCATTATACCATTTCGAAAATAATTTCCATTGTTTCAACGAAAAAATAGAAGAATTTATCGGCTCTTATAATGGACACTTTATAACATGTTTTTAAAAAAAAGATATCTTTCGAATTTTTGGATACAACAGAACCTTTGAATTGATTTGAGACGTGTAAAGAATATAAAAAAACTTCATTAGAATGTGAAGAAAATAAAAAAACATAGAGAAGATACAAAGACTGAAGAACATTCTCGAATTAAAGTGAAGTTTAAATTTAAAATCACATGTAAGATAGCATTTTTTAAAATATCAAGAAATTATAGCAGTAATTATAACAATAGAAACAAATAGATTGAATATTTCTTTTGATTTTATGCTACAAAAAGAAAAGATTCTCTCCGTTGTTAATTGTTTCAATAATATCCGAGTGAAAATTCCTGAATGGTTCAAAAATAATTCTAATTGCTTCAGACGAGTACAAAATATCTTTGGATTTTCGTGCTTTTCCAAAATTCATAAAACGACCGGGCGAATCGTTTTGTTTCCGAAAGAAGATATACCTACATAGAAAATTGTCAATTTAGTTATCGCAACCAATATCAAAGAAATAATCTCGCGAAACTAATCATTGACTATTGCCAGTTTTCTTCAACTGCAAAATTGCAAAATCTCGACAGCAAATTATAAGAAAGACGTGTCACAATTATAGAAATCGTGATCTATCAAGGAAAGATGATTTTTAAGTGAAATAAATGGAATACTCGATTACTGCTTCATCATCAGTTTCACGCGAGCCCGAATAATCTGTGAAACCGACCATCAAAGTTGTATAACGTAACGAGCTAAATAAATACATTGCTCAAGATAATCAGCGTAACAGGTCGACAAAGATCAGTCGTCGAAACCCGCTCAAGACCACTCTAACGATCTGAACGAACGTCAAACGCCAACGAGAACACCACGCGATCGTTAGCGGAAGAAAAGATTCCGGACATCAAAACGCGAAGCAGGCCGGACTCGCGTAACAAAGAGCCACGGCTTTGGCATTGTCGCGCGGCCTTCAAGAATCTAACAAGCCACAAAAAAAAAATATAAGTTCTGTTTTAAGAGTCCCTCATACGCTCCGCGTACCCGGCCCTTCTAACATCCGCACAAAGGTATTTCGTCACTTCGCTCCCGTTCCCCTTCGCGTTTCGTGATTTACCCGCGTTCCCAGGGAAGAGAGAGAGAGAAAACCTCCAAAGGGGGCTAACTAACTCATAATGCCTACAAGTCCCACGGTCCAGCATCTTTGCATCAGCAGTACAACAGCACGACTTCTTTGTCTTCTTCTCTTGCGGCCACGCTTCTCTTCCACGATTCACGCTTCGCCCTCTTTTTGTGCTCTCCGGTCTTTCCGGGGCCGGTTGTTCCGGTTGTACACACAGGGAACCGTCGAGGTCTTTGATTCTCGCTTCTGCTCTGTTCCTCTCAGCTACACTTTCCACGCTCCCTCTCTCCATCATCCCTCCGTCATCCCTCCGAAACGCGAGGATAATTGACATATTGTCGACGAATCACTAACAAAATCACGCGTTTTATTCAAGATTGCAGGCTACTACCAGCTGCTCGCAATAGTGCGTATATTGTCATATATTTCGTATAATCGTGGTAAGCAGTATTGATGCAAAAAAAACTTTGAGATTTCATGAGAGCCGCATGGCACGAGCGTTCGAAAGATTTCTTGCAAATTACACGTTACAATCATCATGCAAAATTATATTACAAAATAAACAGCTTGTGCTTTACAACATCTCGTATTTCTGGAAAAAAGGAAGATAGAAAGAACATGAATCTGGTACTCGTAGAATTTTCCAGGATCATTCCTCAAAATTATTTCAATTTCGGTTCACCGACGAGGTGTATTAATTTATTTGTGATTATATTATTGCAAGATATTCTCTCTGGCAACTTCGAAATCTTTGCAGCGAGATGTCGAGTCAAAGTCCTTCCACGATTATCGTCTCCAATGTAGGAAGAGGAAAAAAGTGTAGCTTATAAGAACAGATACGCTTTGACGATAAATCCGTCGTTTAATTTTCGAAAATATTTGTCAGACTTTGATAACTGCCATGACCTTTAAATCTTGTTTCTTGGCTATTTATGCGATATGAGTCTTTTTAAAAAAGGTCAGAATGAGTCTCTTTCAAGCAACAGATAAAATGATGACCGAAAAGAATCTTTTACCTTGGCCGAGATAAAAATAAGATTTATTTGGAAACACTTGACTACATTCATGTTTATAAAAATCGAAACAAACTGATTCAAGATTCAAGGACAGTGATTGTATAATATCGTTATTTGGGGTGATCGGTATCTATTAGGCGAATGACCGAATTGCTCTAAGAAATCGAGTACACACAGACAGACTTCCAAGGTCCATTTCGTAAAAGCACGAGCAATAATTCACTTGATGAATACAAAATCCGAAAAACTTGTCCGTCATTTCGATGCAGAATTCAAAGTTTTACATCTGAAAGCTATCTATAAAGACGAACGTAAAAATAAAATGTACTAGAAAAACAGCTTTTCTCTTGAAATTGGAATAACTTCATCATTGTTACATTTGTCAGTAACGATCAAAAACAGTAATCAAATTTAGTGCATGAAATCAAAGTACATACAAAACTAAATTACTAACTGTTCACGAAAAAGAAAAATTAAATGGAATATTGCATTATAACAAAACTGAAGATGAAATTGACAAAAAATGAAGATAAAATTAATAAAAACAATATTTGCCAGATATCCGTTAAATGTTGATTCTCAATCTGATTCAAAATTTCAAAGAAAAAAAATAGATTTTCCAACATTTTACATTGTAAATTTTCTACATCAACACTTTTCTTCAACACAGCTAAATTTTCCGAATATGATATAAATTCATCGTGAAGTTAAGCGTCGCGAAGTATTTTCCGAACAAAATGCAAATCGTTTACATATTACAAAGAACGGATGTAAGTCTAAAAATCTCATCGGATCATTCATCATTTACTGCAATCTCATCAAGAATACGCTTGTACTGATTAAAATTGATCGAAATTCCTTGCCCATGGAAACTCGTTGATAGGTCAAAAGACGTACAAGGCGTTCGCGAATTCTGAAAAGATAAGAACAGCAACAAATAGTGAAGAAATGTCTATCTTTCGGTGTCTTCAAAGACGACGCTTGGCGACGACTGCACGCACATTTTTCGAACCTGCACTAGCTAGTACTATCCGAAATCTCAAAGGGACCACTTTGTTTAGCGACACTAAAGAGCATTTGGTAGAAATCGGTTAGATTAGAGTTTCAACACACGGAGAAAACGTGAACAACCGGCCCTTGTGTGTTTTTTTCGTAGCTAACGCTCACACCCTTCCAGGTCTCACCACTCGGACGGCCCGGGAAAACGAGGCAGCAACAATCAAGGGCAATCAGGGCACCAATCATGGCATCAACCAGTCGACGGGACGGCGCGGGTGGATCAACATCAGCGGGTGCAGCCGGAAACCCGTGTGTCAGGCGGAAGCCAGCTATCCGGCGAGGAGCCAAAATGAGTAACCGAAATGGATAAGGAAGTGTATCCGGCGCGATCTCGTTCCTCGATGATCGGGGGAGATCATCAGAGATCTCAAGAGCGACGATCGCAACAATTCTTCAGTCCACCAGGCTATCTATTATATTTATTGTATCTACGGGATTTGTTGAATTTATCGCCAACTACCGCGCATCATTCGTTTCAAGTTATCGCATTCACACATTTCGCACACAAGAGGGGAAAACAGGCTCTCACGTGTCTACCCGGCGAGCCTGAGGATATTAATGATTTATCTTGCACACTCGAAAGCGCCTTCGAACGAGACATCCTCGAGGCGTACACAAAACTCCGCGAGCTCTAGTATCGAACGAACCTTCCGGCATTCGATCTCAAGACCAAACCAGGCAATTTTTATTTTCGTTGGACCAACCATCTTCCGTCTCGACAACGTCTACGCCACACGCCAGACGGCGCACAATCGTCAATCACTCGATCTCCAACGCGAAATTTTCGGAAACTCAGGAATCGCCTGACTGGCGGGTGGCTGCCCCCTGCCGTTCTCGCCGGACCGAAGAGCAAAAGCAACAAAATCGAATACTTTCAACGCAACACTTGGAGCATCGTCAAAAACAGCAAACACACCTGGAAACGTCACACATTTACTATCACTATTATTATTACTTCAAAAAATCGAACGCCGACGTTACTTTCACCCTCACAGCCAATACTAATACTAATGATAGTAACACTATCGACGAAAATTCTCTGAAAAATCAATAGAAATTCACGGAAATATCACACAGCGCGTGCACCACGCGACGCACTTCAGGAACGCGCAGTTTCACTTCAGGAACGAAAAAGGCACACACTCATAACACGCACGCGCACGTAATTAGCGTGCTCCGCGTTGTTTCGCAGCGCGAAAAAAAAAAGAAAGATAAAAGAAATTGCGAGAGTCCAGACTCTGCCTCGCTCAAAATTGGATTGGAAAGGACAAAACGTCTCTCCTCACAAAAGGCTCACGGCATGGACGGAATCGTTCCTCCGACCTCAACCAGGCAACCCTTCGGTCTATACGCCGCCACAAGCGCAAGTCTCGCACACCTCACGATTATTATTTCGCAGAGCATTTACCAAACGGTCGCAGCAGGACGCGCGATCTTTTTTCGTATGTATACGATTTACAGGAGGCATTACCGCGGACCGTACCGCGAGGAAAAAAAAGAAACACTTCTCGTTACACTTCCCTACGTTCTTTACGCGCTGCGCCATCACCAAAGAGATACAACGTGATTCCAAGTTCACGTACGATTTATCGATGATTTATTTTCTCACCGACTCTTCCCGGCAATTTTACGTGAAACAGTTCCAGCAAGACCATTTTTGATCATTTCACGGTTCAAACAGGAGACAATCGATTAACGCGCATGTCAATCAACGGCATGCAAATTAAGGCTTCAGAGCAGATCAAAAGCGCCAAATCGCAAAATCGGTAATCACGACGTAAATTACATCGTGCGGCCAAAACAGTGCTGCACCGATCTGAGAAAAAAAAAACGATCTTCCAGAACTCAACCTGGCGACGAAGAATAGAGGCTCTCGATCGAAATTCGTAAGTTATTTCGGATCGACGAGTTAGCGCACCGTCAAATACCTGACCTACAACTTCTCGATCGATTAATGATTAGCAGAAAGAGAAAAAGAGAGAGCAAACAGCAGCGCCCGAAAAAACAGACGATCTCAAAAGCGACCCGCGCAAATTTCACAAGCAAAATCCACAGGGAAGTGGGCGGAAAGATTGACATTCAAAGCAGATGTCATCCCCAAATCAATCGAAATCGATCATTAATCGAATCCATTTATATCGAACCCCAAAATCAATTGGATCAACAATCAAGCTAATTTATATAACGTTCGTTTGCGAATGACGCTATGCAAAACAGTACACGCGGAGTCCTTTTTGGTCCAATCCAAGGATACTCTGAAAACAACCAGAAATTATCAGCAAAACCTGCGAATAAACTTTCACAAGAAAAAAAGACGAACTTTCGCACGCGGCTCTGTAGCGGCGTAAATCAACTATTTCATCTGAAAAATTACGTCCAACGAGCAAAAACCACCTTCAGGAACACGAAACAACCGCAAAATACCGCCAGAAAACAAGAACGGCGAGAACCATTTACTCGGAGCAAAGCAAACTCGGAGAGAATCATTTATTCTCCGTTACTCCAATAAACTCTGCACTCGGCCACAAATTCGACACGAATCGCACAAAGATTCGAATCTGGATAGAAGAATAGAATTTTACATCGAAAAGCACTCCGACTCGATGCATATCTCAGGACAAAAATCGCTGTCGCGGACTTTTCCGACTGTGCAAGAAACCTCGACAAGCTGAACGGAACTTAACTAATCGACAACGATGTTTTATTTTACTCCTGTCAAGCAAGAAGAGCTCGAGGAATCAAGACGAGCAAAGGGCTAATTATGTTTCATGGAAATTCATCGGAGGACCTACCCTCGGACGACAACTCTTGGACACACACGGATAATCGCGAGCACCAAATCATAGCGGAACAACATGGGACACAGTCGTTTGGGTCAACAAACAACGCGGACGTCGTGGAACGTCGTGGGACCATCAGCAAAGGTACTATCCCTTGTTCTAATCGTACAATTTTATCCTAGATTATACTTAAGTCACTAACGATATCGATCGAAACTTCGTGAATATTAACTTAAACTATTTGATATGCCGTAAAAATAGATCGTCATGATTCTGCATTTAGGCATTTAAATCCTTACTTAATTATGTATAAAATTCTCGTAGACTTAGTTTATTTATTTTCTTTTATTTTTTCTGTTTTAATTTGTCCATTATTTTTATTTCGTTCAATTTTGTTTTATCTATCTCGTGAAATCGTCGTTAATATCGAAGCACAAAGCGCGCTTTCTCTACATAGATCTCTGAAATGTATATATAAAAAATATATATTTCACTTTCCTTTAATGTATGCGTCTTACGTTAGCACAAGAGCTCGCGTATTTCAAGAGATACAGATTCGATTATAACAGAAATTGTAACTTGAATTGTAATAAAAATGGAGAGAAAAGTTCTGACATTTTTACGACTAGAAACATCGATCTCAGTGAAAAATATATGTAAACCATATAAAACTGCAAAGAAACTATTTATTGTGTCAATAATTATAAATAACGACTTGATACTCTTGATACAAACTTTCTGATTGTAAGAATGGTAAACTTTTAATCATCCAAATGTTATATTCAAGACTCATCCGACAAATAAATATGTTATAACTTTAGATTCCTAGCTGCGCTTTGTGAAATGTATATCATTCATTATCACATGTTGTGTTTAATTTTTATTGAATTCAACACATTCTTTATATTCCGATGATTTCACGGATTGATTAGTTATTCATTCTGTTTTCAGTTCTAATTTCTTTTTTGTTTTTTTATTTTCATTAATTTTTTTATTCATAAAAAAGAAGAGCATAAAAACCCCCCAAAAAAAAAGAAAACGGAAACGAAAGAAATAAGCATGAAAATATAAAGCTCGATACGTTCTACACGAAATAATAAATTAAAAGCCGACAATATGCCTCAAAAGTAATTAAATGACTGAATACAAAAGTAATTTCAAAGTAATTGAGATAAGTGCTTATGTTTTATTGTTAAAAAAATGAAAAATTCAATTTCGACAGCTATACGAAGATGCTGAAAGGATATGAAAAAATGTTGATTTCGCAAAATATGTTGATAAGCATTGCGAATTACGATACGTGAATAACGTAATCGCCGTTTTGCGAGACCAATAAGTTCCTTTCTGGGTCTACGTACTTTGTCATTCAAATTCTGCTACTTAGTTTTAACTATTCAGTGGTTCGACAGTCACAAAATACGTAAGTCAAGAAGAGAAAACTTAAAATTCATCTTTTGACTATTTTTCCGACAGACACATCCGATGTAGAACGTGAATATTTTTTAATTACTTAATACATATATACATAAAATTTAATTAATGCCCAATCGTATCGTAGGTATTTCGCGTTTATATTTAAGTTTTAATTTTATCGCCAACACGCTCAGTTAAGACAAAAATGTTTCACAGATAAGTGAATTATACTCCTGTGAGTAGTAATGAGAACAAGTCGTGGATGCTAATATTTAGTGTTGTGAAATGTCGTCTGTCAATTGTAAATTAATAATGCTTCAATGCTGTAAGTTAACAATAATTGCTCTAATTTATCAAATGCCTCTTTTTATTTCCATGATACTATAATTACTACATGAATTTTTCGTTAATTTACTGTCAAGCTTTACATCGCTAATTACCTGAAAGTTACAGGACAAATATTATCAATTTACAGTTGATAGCTTCATCTCGTAGACAGATTATTTAAGACCATTAATTTTTGTGAGACGATTAGTTAATTAGTTTAGATCAATCCATATATTAATCCATAAACATTTATCCAAATACAGTAAATAGAAATTTTTTCAACTTTAAAAATAGTCACATTATTATACATTCGATGAGTTAAGCGACATAATTTAACATTAATAGTTTTCTTTACAGAATTGGATATCTTTAGGATGTAGTTTTAAGGTCTAGGGTAAACACACACACATTTTTACAAAAACAAATTGTTTATGTTAATTACCCAGATAAAAGATCATTGGACTCGATGTAGAAAGTTATGAATGATTTGTACTTTGCCTGTAGTAACGATTGAAATTAAATTCTGTCCGGAATAATACGATCCGAACGAAGGCGTTCAAGGTACATTTCGTAAAAAAAAGAGATGCAAAACATTTCACGAAAGAGAATTGTTCAGATACAACGCGCAAACGTATTATGCTGCTTTTGAATGCTTCTCGTATGTTGCTTATCTGAATGTTATTGTTTCTGTTGTTTACGTTTGTATCGAATTTTACGTTTTTGGCCACCAGACATAGTACTCCTTCCCAAGATTCTCCCGTTGTTCACGTTGAATTTCTGTTTGGCACGTTGTTGCTGTTAATACGTTATCAGATGTTACATCCCATTTCCTTTAAAAGCCTGTTTAACCCTGTTACTTTATCGCATGTTTCCCCGTTACCAAACCTTCGAATATTCCCATTTTTCTCCAAAAGTTATCTTTAACACTGTTAATCCTTTGTTGATTGTACTGTTGATACTTTGTTCGTGTTGTAGATCATCGTTATTGCATCCATAAAACTCCTGTCGAATATTTGTACTCGGAAATCTATTTCATACTTCCAAAAATAATCGATCCACCCTTTCAGTTACTATAGCAAATTTTGAACAGACATTAAAAATTCTATTTGACTTTAAATACAATATATTCGCTATATTTCTGAAATCTTAAAATAATAGTTTACGTGTAAATATATTTCAAACGATTTTGAATCAAGATACTTCAATAAAAAGAGAAAAATCTTAGATATCATAATGTTACCTCAATCTGACAAATGTGCCTCTCAAAAAGTTATTAGTTTCTAAACCTATACTTAAAAAATCGTACTTTCTGATTTATATATGCTCTGTTATATTCCAAAATTTATAGAAATTCTGTTACATTCCACAATCCTCATAAATTCTGACGATACACATCTCCCCGTTTTATCATTGTTGAAAGTTCATACAAGTTGAAACATGTTCTGTATTTTGCGTTAAATTTTGGTCAGTTGAAGTTATTAGTTTGTCTGCCTTAAACATATTATTGTATAATCGTTACACACATTTATCTCGGTCGTTATTAATACCATTTTTGTTTACCCTACCCATTTGTTCGATCCCTAATATTATTATCTTTATTAATATTTGCTATTTAGATTTTATTACGAAAACATTACATTTCCAGATTACTTTATTATTGTTGACAATGCGACGGCAGGGCGATCAATCAAATCTATTCCAATTGGGCAATTAATAATATTTACGCTTATGTTTTCCTTTTTGGCATATATGAAAATTTATTCTTACGACTTGCTCGATGTAAATACGATTCTCGCAAGCACGGTAAAAAGTATGTTCCAAAAAATAGATGTAAACTCGAACGTAAAAATGAAAATTCAAGTTTCATATTTGAGACATACAATTCGCCAAATTTACCTTTCTTGAAAATAATTCGTAATATATGGAAAAGATATATTCAAAATCATATTATCAATAGAAACAACTAAATTATTTAATATACTCTAACCATAAATAAAGAAATTATTTCTATTGTACTTACATTTCTAAATTCTTTAACGAGATAATCGATTCAATTAATCTTCTTGCAGCTAAATTCTATGACAAATATTTAATTGTCAGAAACACTTGGCCAGCCACCATGACGCACCTATAATCGTTATTGTTATCTAATGTCTTTGTTACGTATCCCTGGTTATTGTTATACAAAATTACGTTATTGTTAAGTTACCATTGTTACCTCTAAATCCCAAGAAGTTGCATGCTATTAATGCCCGTGTTCCAAGTTTTTTGTTCTTAAAGAATTTGTCGTAGAAACTGTTTTGTTACTGTTAAATCGGCAGCAAAAGCAAGCATAATTCGCTCTTTCTTCCTTCCTCCGCTCTTTCTCTTTCTTTCCATCATCGAATTAAGATTAAAGAATCTAGATTTAATTGGTGAAATACAAATCGATCGTCAGTTTAATGATAAGATAAGATGAACGATAGAGATTTAAGATATCATACTACACACACGATACACGATGCGTTCATCAAGCTTTGACATCATTCTAGCAGAAATATTATGTTCCGAATTATTAATTTAATGTTAACTTGCAAACTGCCTTACGATTATTGTCTGCGAGATTGATTATACTTTGGTTTCACCGTATAGTGCCTTATTTGATACATTTTAATGTACGTATATAATAATGTATTCCATCAAATAATTCCGTAAAATAATGTAATGAGAATGTAGTTTTAGTGCAGCTAAGAATATATAAATTTTCGTGAGAAAAATACGCTAAAGTGCTGCTATACGACATATGTACATAATATATGTAGGTACATTTAATAAAGACATTCTGTACGTAATACATAAAACGCATTTTTTATTATTTATACACAGATATTATCTACCTTCCTCTTATGATAAATTTACAAGCAGAAAATTGTACTTAATTCTCGTATAATTTTGTCAACAGTTGCAGTTATTGCAATTACATGATTTAATTATAACTGAAAATTTATATTATAATACAATGTAATTTATTCCCAGTACAATCATTATTTATATTATACGAAATAACTAATATATACATATAATATATTATGAATATTAACTGTATATTCATATTTAATGCGTGCGTACACATTATTGCCATCTCCAAACAAAGATTCACTTATAATATGCCTTGTCATGTTTTCTAGAATCGTTTTAATCACAATATTATTCAGCTACACATGATTGATAATTTACATCGTAAAATTAGTGCGCAATAAATGTTATGTTATGTAATAATAATGCTTCGTTTTAAACATTATCTCTTTTCTACAATAATATCTGAACATACGCTGAAAATAAATTAAAGCATATTAATTAAAAATTTCTATCACAAATTTCATTTATATAAATGTACTGCTAAAGAGATCATAATGTTTCTAATTTTTTGGACAAATAAAATATTTCCCTAAAATTTAATAAAAATAATATTTTTATTATGTAGCTTTTATATACAATTAATATTATTAAAGTATCAATCAAAGAAAAATGATGTCTATGCAAGCCAAACACCGGATGTCCGTATGCAAAATATTTATTATTTAATGCATACTTAACAAATATACATTTTGTATAAAATAATAAATATTTTGCACGCGGACATCCAGTGCTTGGCTCACATAGACATCATTTTTTTTATTTACTCTTTGGAGTCTATTAATTCTTTTTATTATATTAAAGTATCATTTAAAACGATTGAAAAATATTTACCACGTTTACATTTACATTTACATTAGGAAAATAATCTTACAAAAACAAATATATTACAAAATCCATAGTGTAGAAAAAAGTAAATCAAAGAAAACAGTTTTACAAAAAAAAAACAGAAACTGAAAAACAGAACTGTTTTAAAACAGTTTTACTAAAAAAAAACTGAAAAAAATCTCGTAATTAAATCGCGACCGAATAACAACCCAAAAAATGCATCCAAAAAAAAAGGTAAAGAAAAATCTTGTAGTTAAATCGGCCGGATTATGCTCCAAAGACCGCCTTCTGCATTGGCCAGGAACGTCGAAGATACCATTTTTAAAGGTAACTGTGTCTTTGGAGAAAGCTCTATGCTGTACTTTCTCAAGAACGTAGCCAGACACGCTTTTATCTGCAGTTGAGCCATTCTCATTCCTACGCACATTCGCGGTCCTTCGCCAAAAGGAAGAAAGGTGAATTTCTCGATGTTGTGCTTTCTATCTGGGCCAAACCTATCGGGATCAAACTCTTTCGGATTCTCCCAGTATTGTGGGTCTGCGTGTAGGCCACTAACTGGTATCATGATGTGTGTTCCACGTTCTACGCGACAGACGAGCCCATCGGACCCTCTCAACTCAGTCTCATCTGTACAAACCTTGCTTAGGAATCCCAGAGTAGGTACGAATCTCATCGATTCATTTATTACCTGATCCATGTATGTCATATCCTTCAAGGCTTCATAAGTAATGACACCATCGTATTTATTCAGCACAGACATCACCTCCTCACGTAACTTTTCTTGCACTTTTGGGTTATTGGCCAAATTGAAGCCTATAAAACTTAAGACTGCGCTGGAAGTTTCATAACCGTCGACGAAGAACGACACCGCGTGGGACGTGAGAACTTCTAAGTCAAACTTATCGCCTTCCGTTCGTTCCAGATCAGTCATCAACTGGAGAAAATCGTTTCTGGGTGTCGTCTCCTTCCTTCTTTGTTCCATAATGTCTGCAATGATCGTTCTAAAGAAATGATCAGCCTTTTTCGGTAAAAACCTCGTCTTGAAAATTCTGCCCAACGCCGGTATAAAAAACACAAGGGTGAAGATAATGTTGTTCAAAACGGTCGAATCCAGGAAGGACTTGCCCAATGCATAGAAAGAATCTTTCTCTTTCTCTTCGTTGAAGCTTAAGCCATCGATGCCAAAGCCAGCACTAGATACCACCTGCGAGGTGAATCTGGAGAACAATTCCTTTAGCTCTAACTCCACTTTTCCAGCTTTATCGATTTTTTTGTCCAGATAGCCTTCGAATGTCTGGCACACCTGCTTGACGGTCTCGAGCAGGATTTTCAGTCGCATGCTGGAGAACGCATAGGTCAAGCGCTTTCTCCCGGTCATCCATTTTTCACCGTATGTGAAGAATGGATTGTTCGCCAAAAGAGGATCCAATTTCGGATCGATTTTGAAGCCGTTCTCGTGGAAGTTCGTAAAACTCGTCTGCAGCACTGTTTTTACCAGTTGCGGCTCGCGGACCATCAACGTCGGCGTCATGAAATTGTAGATTCCTACCATGCTGCGATCCCGATAAGCATTGTAGATCCTGCAACACCACTCGCCCATAGTGATCTTTTGTGTGGCGACTTCCCAGACGTGACCGACACCGGGCAAGGCTCCATCAGGGCAAGGTACTCCACGTTTTTGCCAATATTTATAATTTTTCGTCAAGAAGAGGTAGAGAATCACCAGAATTACAAGAATCGACAACACGATCGTGACAGCCATATTACTGTTTTCGAGAAGGACTGAACGATACTGAGTGGTTCAACGTTCAAGAAATACTCGTCAAACGACTGTTATCAATTGCGATTGCATCACACATGCAGTTGGTAGCGAAATAAACGAGCGTAATGGCAGGATGGCGAACGGGTAGATAATCTGAGCTTGTCATGGATTGATTATGTGACGTCGCACAGTGTACATCGGAAACATTATGTAATGTCTTAAAGATTAAAACTAATCTCGTAATGTATTATCAGTTGTTGAATATAGCTTAATTATTTTTATATTATATATAGGCGAACTTGACATTGATATTGAAACGATTCTTGTCCGCTACCCTATATTAAATGCTATAACTAGTGATTCAATAGTGCAATTGCCGGCTATTATTCAATGATAACATGATGTACCATATATACCTGTGTACATTTTCACTATACAATGTTGTATGTAATTTTATATAATATAGGGAAGAGTAATCTAAATCGAACCGTGTTCCAAATAGGACCTTTTTAATTTAAATAAATACGGTTAAGCAGATTTGCGTACTATTTATAATGTAAAGTCCTTATAAGACTGAACATATGTGATAGCAGTTTGACAGTTCTGTCATAATATTCATAAAATAGACGCAAATATGTATTTTCAGCCACCGTGCGAAAATTTTTTTAAAAAAGCAAATCCTTATAAATCATTATTTAAAATGTGTTAAAAATTTGAAAAGTAATTGATTTAAGATAATTAAAGAGTGTAGAATTCAAAAATATCAAGCATTTTGTGATCACATTTTGCGGTTTATTGTAAAATTTGTTCCAAAGTTCGAAAGGACCCGTGTCCAAATTGGACAGTACATTGAATAACTTATAGGCCTCGTTGTAATACTGGTGATCGGCTGACCAGATCTGGTCCAAGCAATTAAATCAGTAAAATATCATGTAAAAATGAAAAAATTTAATTTACATAAAAAAATTTTTTATGTAAAATCACTTGGCGCTGCTAGATCTCGATATAATAACATAGTATTAACAATATTATATGAATGTAATATTAAGAAAAATAAGAAAAATAAGAATGTAATACTTAAAAAATGTAATATTTAAAAAAATAACATATTAATAAGGAAAATTAGAATCATATTAAAAAATATGAATATTTAAAAAAATAAGAAAAGTAAGAAGCATTCCCAATGAGAGTTAAAGTATCTAGTGTATGTATATATGCGATTGAGTTATAGAGTGTAAATTATGAACGTTGTAAATACTATTAAGTTTAAGTCTGAGAAAAATAAATTTAGATTTGTAAACATTCGTTATGAAAGAGAAATAAATAATAAAATTTATTCTTATTCAGTGTAAAGTTAAGATTAAATTTATTACTTTTATTATAATTTATTTTATAATTTAAATTATAATTACCTTTTATTATTTATATTTATTAATTAC